TCTGTTTAAATATGGTGTCTGTGACTGAGTTTCGTGTTCCGGAGGCATGCGGTCCAGAGAGAAGGAGCCAGAGTTGCTTCTCTGCCTTGGCGCTTAGGAAAGAGCAAATGGGGCTGCCACCTGCCCGGTCTGGGGATGGTTCCAGAATGGCTCAGGTTATTCACAGCACAGATCCACCCGGGGGTAAAAATACCATCCCAGAAGGACTCTCCTTCTAGCCACAAAAATACCTATATGGGTAGAGAGAGACTCAAAAAATGACACAAGGTTTAGGAGAAATCATCCCCTTGGAAAAGAAATAAAGTAATTAGTATTGGTCTTACAAGATAGAAGATAAAGAGATCCAGGAAGAAAGAATGAGGGCAGCTCAAGAAGGATATAAACTGAAAATATAGCAAGAGAAATATGGTTTAGACCGTAGGAAAAACTTCCTGACCATGAGATAAAAGGAAATCTTCATACGGTGTCTCCTTGGGAGATGTAAAACAGAAGACAGGATCAGCTCACCTCTGTGAGGCCTACTATGAAGCAGAGGGTGAAACTGGGCAATTCTACAAAGTTTCCACTAGCATTGGGCATTTACAATAAATGCTGGAGAAGAGCTGACTTCTTCAGTAGAAGAGTATATCCTCTGTAAGCTCTTTGGCTATGTGTCCCCTTAGGAGCTGCAGCCTTTCAATTTCAAATTCATTTACACAATCACTGTGTTCCACAGGTGAGGCCCCGGGGCACATGAAGTGATGATTTATCCATCTCATGCTTCACCACTGGGGTCCAAATCCCTCCACTCCCCCTTTCCCTATGTGCCTTGGAAGCAGGCTCACACTCTGAACTGACCTCATTCTAGCCCTCAGGTGCCATGAGAGGGAATTTCTACATTCTACATCCCAGTCTTGGAAGAGGATGTTCTTATGAATTCATTACAAACCCCATATTGCCTTTGACTTGGACTTGTCTCCAGGGATAGAGAAGCACCCAGAAAATCTATCCTTAAGAGTCAAAGAATGTATTATCACCAGTATGACTAGAGTTCTAACTCACTTCTTCAAGATGCAGGCCCTTTGAGATAGTGTCCATCCTGCACCTGTTATCAGCAATATGTCTTCTTTAGCTCTCCCAAGTCATTCTGAATCTCATGTAAATCTGAGGGGGGTGGCGGATAAAGAAGTGCCCAAATTCTCAAAAAGGTAGTAGAAAACAACCAATTTGCTAAAATCCAAAAACAAATTACTATACCATTGGGTGGTTAATGTTTAAAATAAACTAAAACATTCCCCTCCATGCCAGGCTGAAAAGCAGTTCTGGCTCCCTCCCTTGGACTGCATGCCTCAGGGACATGGAACACAGTCCAGAAACCATATTTAAGCAGAGCATGCAAAGGATGAGCACAGACAAAAACTTTTCCATGGAGGAAAGGAATACTGCATGGAACATACAGAGCATAAAACTACTAATTATTCAGAAACAGTTCGGTCATGCATTCCAAGGTATGTTCATTTCTCGGGTTGGAGTTCTCTGATATTTTCATTTCTTTTGAATACACACTTGTCTCTTGATTAATGTTAGACAATACAAAAAAATCTGAATGCTTAAAAAAAAAAAAAAAAGGAGCCGCTTCAGCCATGAAAACCTATGGTTGGAATTATTCAGCCAGCAAGCACTCTAAGGCTCAAAATCCCCGTGGCAAGAACATGTACTTATTGTAAATAACTCCACGAGGTATAGCTTAAGATGATGCAATAGACCAGATGAAGGGGATGGGAAGGGAACAGCTCCAGCTCCCCAGGATCAATACATGAAAATAGGGTCACACAGTGAAATGAACCAGTTTCTGTTCCTGTGGAAAGCTCTGGTTCTTCCTCTTTTTGTTCCATCTGAGAGATCAATTCTAGAATAAAGTATTTCAAATATCAAACTAACTAGAACAGCTGTTGCCACTTCCTCTGCTTTGGGAGCCCCTATCAAATTCCAGTTCCAAATCAACACAAGGCAACTCTCTGGCAACATCTTAGAATAAAGCTCTTAGAGCTTAGTAAATAAAAATAATGAGGGTAATAAAAATAATGAAAGCTAGTAGTACGGTGTTTTCTATGTGCCAGATGCTATCCTTGGTTCTCACAACAAGTGATGATGTAGGTACTACCACCACTCCCATCACCCGGCTGCTCCCCTGGCGGAAGGAGACCTGTGAGCTCCTGGAGGGAGTGTGTATCTCTTCCCACCTTTGGTAATAGTCATGATAATAATCACTGAAATTTCTTGAATATTAATGTGCCAAACATAAAATGTTTTTAGTGCTTTATCTCAATCAGCCCTTACAATAAACTTAAAAACTAGACATTACCCCCACTTTCCCTGGTAAGTGACAGAGGCTCAGAGAGATTTAAAAATAACAGCCCAAAGTGACACAGCTATGGCAGAGCTTGACTCTTAATCTAGTTTGTCTGATGCCAAAATCTTGGCTCCTAACCCCTACTCCTTCCTGGGCACTTCCCACCTCTAGAATACTAGCAATTGCCACAGAGACCCAGCCTCTTGGGTTATTTTCATCAAGCTTGAAAGCCCTTCCTGAGGCTGACGATGGCCGAGCGGATTGTTCCCAGAGAGCCCAGTGGCACCGTTGCCATCCGTTGGCCTTAGCCACAGCTGTGGTTTCCAAAGGAAATAACTCACACGGCCGTTGGTCGCACCTGTCACTCAATGGAACCAGGACTTGCATCAGAACACGGGGGCCCCACAAGGAAGAAACAGCAGCTACATCAAACTGATGGGCATCAACACAGGTCACTGTGGGATTCGTGAGCCTGTCTCCCTAAATCTGAGATCAGTCCCCCTGTGCTCCATTCTCCTTGCTTCAGAAGGCCAGAGAGAACATCACTAGACCTTAGATATTCTAGATCTGCAGACAACCCATCACAGTGCTGTAGGAAGGCTGAGTATAGACAATCAGCAAGCATGATTTAAACTAGGTGAAGCACCTCTAAGCTTCCACTGATTAAAAAAGAAAGAAAGTGAGAGTTAGTGCTACAGAGAAGAACAAGAAAGGTCAACCAATGACCATAAAAACTGGGGTCTTTCCAGAAGTCCCAGAAGGAGAAAAGGGCATGTAGAACCTTCAGGCTGTGTGGAAGCAACAGGAGTTTGATGAGAATACAAAAATAGGAAAACTTTCAGGGCAGTCTGTGATGGTGGCAAACTCAGGGAAAACTAGAACGAATGGTGTCAATTTGATTCACTTGAATGCAAAATGCTGTAAACATTAACAGAGCATCGGTAAAGCATTTACAACAAAATGCAGGGAGCACATACAAGAGTTATTGTACCTGTACCTTCTTATACTCTTGCAGAGGAGCCAAGCCATATGTGCTTGGCATCCTTAAATAACAGGAAAGGCTGGCATGTGAGGAAGTGCTAGGATGAGTGGTGAATTCCGTGAAAAGCAGAGGATGGAGGTATGTACGTGCTTAGATGGGCAGAAAATTCTTTGTGGGTGATGTAGACTTTGGTCTGGAGCCCAGAACTGGTTCTGTATAATTTAGCGTTCAAATCTTCTCTCCTTAACTACAGACTCCAAATGTACCTGTGCACAGGTATCAGAAGAACCAGTAATTGTGCTGCAATCCTGAATTACTTTTGTTCTGTGACAGGTGGTTTCCAACACTACCTTCTTATGGATCTCTGAATCCCTCCCAGGACTCAGACTTCCCCTGTGGATAAAGAAAATCTTTAGAACTGCACCCTACAAGCTGTATCAGCTTTACTATGTAATGGTTTTCTGGGGGTCAGAACTCAAAAGGCGGGGGAAAGTCTCAGGTAATTGAGTTACCAGGATGTCAATTCTTTTCAGTTGGGGAATTTTTCAGAACTAAAGGAAAACTACATATTAAAAAAAAAAGGAACTTCATTTTTTATCTTGAAAATATAACCATTGAGATGGATTTGACCAATGTACCAAAACACAAATATCTTATCTACAAATATCTTATCTACCTCTGTGGTATTCAAACTAGAGAAGAAAAAGTAATGTTAAACCCTTCCTAGAAATAAAAATGGCATAGCAATCCCGTAACCCAGTATCTTCTTGTCACTGAGTCAAAGACTACTGTCCACCATCCTTGATGTAGCTGGAGAATGTAAGCTGCCTACAGAAGAAAATGTCTAACGACTTGAGAAACACCAGGTTAAGGTGTCTCCCACAATAATCTCTTCCCTCTACTACATATGCAAAAAGTACCCTCACTCTATTAGACTACCAATATGAATCCCAAGAACCTAAATACAATGTAATTTATCCTATCCCAAAGTGCTTTCTTGACATGCTCTGAACCTACCTGAGGACAGCAACACACCTCTGACTGAAAAATCCAACATGTTGTTTTCTCCCATATGGCATTCATCCAGCTCTCTTGAGCATTATCTGGAAGAGTGTGGTGGTCTGGCTGCCCTAGTAGAATATCAGCTCCCCAGAGACAAACTCATCCTCAAGGTTGTCGCCTATTTTGTCCCCCAGTACCAAGCCCAATGCCTGGAATGTTATAGGTGCTCCATGAATCCGTGCTGAATTAAACAACTGAGAGCACTATCAAGCAAAAATCACCATAGCAAAACCAAAGGCAAGATTCAGTTTCTGGGAGGGGGTGTAGGTCAGGTACCAGGCAGGCCCAGATGTGCTGGTGGTCTTCCTAACTTTGAACTCTCTGTCTCCCTGTCTAGCTCTCCCTGATTAATAACCTCACCTTAGGATTCAGTCCTAAGATTCAGAAGATCCGGAAGAATCAAAATGTCAGCAAGCCAATGGTAGACTGTGATCTCCTTCCTCATCCCTGGAGCACAGCACCATATTTGGCCCTTTGTAGGGGCTCAGCAACATTTACTGAACAGAATTGAAAAAAAAATGAAAAAATTCACTCACATTTTTCAGAGGCATAAAAGCAAAGGACAATAACTTGTATTTAAGAACAGAGGGACCCGATTGGGAAAGCAGCAGCACCAGATCCAAGATGGCGGCCAGCAGGAGGCTGATGAAGGAGTTTGAAGAAATTCGCAAATGTGGAATGAAAAACTTCCGTAACATCCAGGTTGATGAAGCTAATTTATTGACTTGGCAAGGGCTTTTTGTTCCTGACAACCCTCCATATGATAAGGGGGCCTTCAGAATCGAAGTCAACTTTCCAGCAGAGTACCCATTCAAACCACCGAAGATCACATTTAAAACAAAGATCTATCACCCGAACATCAATGAAAAGGGGCAGGTCTGTCTGCCAATAATTAGTGCTGAAAACTGGAAGCCAGCAACCAAAACCGACCAAGTAATCCAGTCCCTCATAGCACTGGTGAACCACCCCCAGCCTGAGCACCCACTTCCGGCTGACCTAGCTGAAGAATACTCTAAGGACTGTAAAAAATTCTTTAACAACGCTGAAGAGTTTACAAAGAAATACGGGGAGAAGCGACCTGTGAACTAAACTCTGCTGTGACCGATTCCAGCGAGTGTGAGCAGTAGAGACCCTGAACAGCGCATTCAGACACCCCACAAAGCAGGACTCTGTGGAAAATTGACACGTGCCGCCGCCTGGCGTTTGCTTGTGGCAGTTACTAACTTTCTACAGTTTTCTTAATCAAAAGTGGTCTAGGTAACCTGTAAAGAAAGGATTAAAAATTTAAGATGTTCTTAAAAAAACAACAACAACAACAACAAAAAAAAAACAGAGGGACCCTTACCACTGGATGTCCTATGGCCTTTTCTGAGACATAGAAAGTCAGTGTGAACAAGCCAGAGCTCTATGCTCAAAGGAAGGCCTTTCAGAAACAACCCTGATGTACAGCCATGAAATCCTGTAGACAAACTGTGTAAGTACCCAAAAGTGCAAGGCCAGGTATAGTTCAACTTCTCACCCTCCACTTTCACTACTGTCCCTAGACTTGGTTTCTGAAAGACCTGATGCCAAAGAGGACCGCTAACAGTGAAGCCTCATGGTCTTCTAAAGAGGAAAATAAGATTTGCTGGATGCCTCTCTTCTAGGGCACTGTGTGCAAGGGGTCTTTACCTGGAGCCCATCACCATGCTTCAAAATGCCCATGAACTCTCTGAAAATACTTTATGTGTACATGTATTTTCCTGAGGAGAGCCATATCTTGCCTGAGTTTCTCAAAGGGCTTCGTGCCCTATAAGAAATGTTAAAAATCAGTGATTAAGTAGCTTAGGTATTTTAAGTTTGGACAAAATCATCTGCTGGGTAATAGGCTCAAAACATTCTACATTAGAAAGGCAGCACAGGATAAAGAAAAAGAATAGAATTTAGAGTCAGACTCACTTGAGGTTGAGTTCCAACTCTGCTATTTTCAACTGCCTGATCTGAGCAAGTTTCTTAAACCATCAGAGCTCCTATATTATAGGGTCACTAATACCCACCTTCCAAAATACACTTACATGTAGAAAGCACTAAATAAAAGCTAGTTCTCTTCCTCTCTTCGTTAGTAGTCTTCTTCCCTCCTTCTTTTCTTCCTTCCTTCCTTTCTCTTTCTTCTTCCTTCTTTCCAGCCTCCTCCCTTCCTCCTTCCCTCCTTCTCCACTTCCTCCTCCCCTCCTTTTCAACAGCAAGCACCAATAATTTGAACAAATGCCCCTTTTCAAAAGTACAAATCTACCATCTGACATAAATAAGAAGTTGACGTGCCATTGCATGGCCTGACCAATATTATCCTTTTACTGAAAAACAAAGAATGCAAGAATGGGGTTTTTGCAACATGAACAATACTGAGGGGTGAAACTTTCTTCTATTCTTTGTCATTTTATATAATCCAAACCCAGTTACTGACAAATTACATAGAGATTATAATCCCTAATGGCAAATGGTGAGAAATGGCCCAAGAAGATGGAAGGAATGAGAGGAGCTTATTACAATGTCCGAAAATATGAGCACCAAAATCTCATGTTTTCACAAAGATGCTGTACAAACAATTCTAGTAATATCGCTTAATGCATCCCAGAGCTGTGGTCTGTGGGTGCCTTCACAACCCACTCTGCCTAACAGTTACTCGAATACCTCTTGCAGTTCTTGGGGAGAGTCTGGCCTTATGGAAGCTTCAAAGCTGCACTACATTGTGAGTCATGTAAGACTCTCCTCTGTCCTCTCCATCTGTGGAGAGAGGAGGAAAGAACAGAAAAGGGGATGGAGCCGGGGTAACCAACGGTAGTGGCTGGGGCGGATGAATGGTGAGATTTCACAGCTTGCCAAAGATTATAGAAGTCCAAAGGTTTACTTTTTGGCATCAGTTTTACCCAAGTGGAAAATTCCCAATTTTCTCTACTTGGTCCTTTCTCTCGGAGGAAATGCACGGTTCTGTTAAACTCAAGTAAATGCATCTTCCTTTCCTAAATCTCATGTGCTGGATTCAATACTAATTTACATCCACATTTGTGCCAGAGATCTTAAAAATCTGCTGTTGTTTCCTTCCCAAGCTGTAGGGTGGGGGGCTGGGGGGGCTGTGGAGGAGTAGAGTTGAGCATGAGGAAAAGGAGAGAGGGAATGTGGCTGGAAAAGTGAGGAGGGAGAAGAAAGAAAAACTTCACCTGGTAAGCATTTTCCATACTTAATAATTTGATTTTGAAGGCTAGTCATATCAAAGAGCAAAATATTCAATATTGTTAATTCAGTTTTGCAAAATATATTCTTAATTTAAAAATGATTTTGCTCCGGGTGGTAGTGCAGTAATAAAGCAGTTATTGACCAGATCTTATTGATTGCAGAGTCTGCGGGCAAAGAGCACTGACCTTGCTCACACTCTTATTGCTTCCTCCCTCCCTGGCCTTCTTCATCTATGCTCGCTCAATAATATATTATTAATATATATTTTTAGCAAAAACTGTATGTTACAAGGTTAAGGGCTTCTTAGTGATTTTTTTCAAGCTACTCTCTGCCTTTGGGGTGTTAGGGGAAGAATAAACTTCGTAACCAAGTGTCTGGATATAAATGGCTTTCCATGGATATACTTCACCCATCACTGGGAAGCATGTTGTCACTGTCCACTTTTTCTGTCATATAGGACAGAAAGAAAAAACTCCCTAAGGCAAAGGGTGTTGCAGCAGTTTGGGCAATGATGTGCCTACACAGAGGAAAACCACACCATGGCCATAAAGATCAAATTCAGGACATACCTGCATCCCTTCCAGGAAAGTGGCTCTGAACCCAGGAAGGGAGATCTGTGGTCATATCAAATTCAATGATCAGTGGGGTCCAAATCCTTCTGGTCCTTTTAATAGCTCTTTTATGAAGCTTTCCCCAACACCTTTGCAATCATCTTCCTTATAGCACAATCAAATATGATATATAATGACTGCTTACTTTAGCATTTGCACATAAACTCTCCTACCTATCTGCCTGGTTTTTTTTTTTTTTTCCAGGTTAATCTTACTTCTCTAATAAATGTATAAGTCTTCTGAAGGCAAACACTATGCCATACGCTCCTGCAATATTCTTTCTAGAATCTGTCATGCACCAGGTCCATAGTAAGCATATAGTCAATAATTATCAAATTGGAATGTAAATGATGCACAGCTCTGTATTAAACTTCCTTTCAAAGAAAGCAAGAACACAGAGCAGGACAGTGCAGTTTGCTTCTGCTCTCCGCACTGGGAGCCTCCCAATTGCGTGGTTTGCCTACCTCCACACATGCACCAGGTGAGAGATGGAAAAGCCAAGTACCATTGAGTTTGATGAACATTGCAGAGAACTATCTTGTACTCTTGCATCATGAGGTAGAATGTTTGGGCAATTTGCTTTCATGTCATGTATGAAGAAAGAGGAAAGAACAGTGATCACACCTCATGAACGCTGAATTCAGAGAGGCTGGCAAATCCCCAAGCTCATGGGGAGATTAGGACAGAAAATGAATGAACATGGTGGTCACCTGCAACTTCTGACTCCACCCCCATCTTGCACTGCACTCATGAATGTGGCTGGCTGTTCCTCAGATGGCAAGAGAGACAGGTTAAAAAAAAAAAAAAAAAAGGCTGAGTTTCTCTGATTCCCTTCGCACTGTCCATGCCCATCCCCAGGCTCCTGCTTCTATGAAGAAGTCTATCTAAAAAATCCAGTATTCCTAAAGGATAGGAAAGATGGAACAGTATCCAGATTTCTATTTGCTGCTGGTTTCAACCACCCACTGAAAGGGGACAAAGAAGATGCAATAATGGAACACCGTGGCCTAATAAAAACAATCCAGGTGAACAAGGAGGAATGCTGTGGGCTCCACCTACCAGCTGTGTGGTCACCGGCAAGCTACACACCCTGCAGCACCCAGCAGGCATCAGCTGCTCACTCAAGGAGTTTAATAGTAAAGAATGCATGAAAGTACTTTCTATAAAGATGTGGGAAGGACGAGGGAACCAACAAGGAACAGCTAAAGGGCTGTTGACAGCAGGAAGTCTTTAACACTGCCAATTCTGAATGGGGCAGGACAGACGAAAAGGCCTGCGGGGCAACGGCAGCAAGTGTGGGTGTGGAACAGAAGCTGCCGCAGAGGACTATGGGCGCCTCCAACTCAACACATGCAGGCAACCCAACCCCTGTCTCCTGCTGCCTTCTAATCTCACATCAGAGCCGGAAAACAAGACAGAATGAATGATGGGATCTTTCAACGTCAGCCAGGCAAAGGGTAAGACAAAGCAGGATGGGGAGTGATCTGCAAGAACAAACGAATGGATAGTGCCATCTTTGTGCCTCATCTTCTCCTTTGTCACACAGGAATAATTATGTAACCATCCCTACCACACAGGGTCCTCTTAAGGACTGCATGTAACTACAGCTGTGAATGCACTTCGTTAAACTTTCCAACCTGCCACAGATGCTGCGTTGGTGAGGCACCCACTCTGCTCTCTGTGGAGTCCTCTCCCCATGCCCATGCCCAGGCCAGGGCCCCCCCTCCCAAACAGAGCCAGAATGATGCGAACAGAGCTGCACAAGGCTCTGCAGGTGGCAGGGGGGAGGGGGGAGCTGCACACGCAAGGAAATAATAGAGACTGGATTGTTTATGCTTGTGGGAAAGGGCGCATGAATATGGATAAAACCCTGTGCGCATTTTGCTAATTACCCAGCATCAGTGTTAAAGGAGGAAAGAGCCCACTGCAGATTTTCAAGCCAATTCCATCCCGCCAAGCCCACCCCCACCTATGTACACACACAAATCACCGCTGCCACTACCACCACCACCATTTTCTCTCCTCTCATATACATAACTGACAGTGCTCCCCTGAATACGAACCACATGATCCCATGTGAGTTAAATCTGAACCAACAAAAGATTCCAACTCTGTATCATGCCAGAAGGCTCAAGGAAGAAAGTCCCATTCTGTGATCCCAGTTGGCAGGAACTTATTTCCTACACTATCCAGAGTCAGAACAACCGATAGCTCCACGAGCAAAGACATGAGGTGAATCAAGAAGGGAAGGGAGGTGGAAAGACA